TATAAGGAAAAAAAAGAGATGTTTAGTAAACTGGAATCATTTCTGTAGCTTTAAGAGTAGCCCTGTGATTTGGGGTGGCTGGAAGACATTCAAGCACCTGTCCCAGGCTACTGGGCTATGGGTGTATGTGATGGAAAGATGGGAAAGACAGAACATGTTATAGAGAGATGGGAGAGAATGTGAAGAGGTTTGTGTGCTGTGGAGACAGGTAGAACTTGAGAGGTTGATGTGAGAGCCCTGTGCAGTCATCTGAGGTCATGGTGATACCAGGCTGGGGTGCCACCTATTGTCACCAATGACATGTTTGTGGACTAGGCTGCCACTTGAAGCCATGTTGATGTCTGGGCCAGGGCTGCCACCAAGGGCCATATCTGTATTCCTAGTCATACTGTAGCTTGGATTTGTGTTGCTGTCTGTTGCCCATGCTATCATGAACGTCCATGCAGATATCCATGGGCTAGGCTGCTGACTGGAACCATATTGATGTGGCCTGCCCTTTGCCAGCTACAGGAGAATGGCCCTGCCCCTCACTCCTCATGGAATAGGATAGGCAGTGGTATGGACTTGGGGAAATGAAACTCACCCCTCACTGGGGGTATGGGAAAGGGAAGACCCAGGCTAACCAGTTGAGCTACCATCCAGGCCCAGATCCAGGACCTTGAGTTGATCCACCGCAACACCTACCCTATTGATGAGCTGCTAGAGCACAGGAATGGATTGCTCCTGCCGACCCACAGCCACAGGAGCTCCACGACTGGGAGCAACAGCAGAAGATCTGAGAGCAGTCCTGGTGAGGGTCCAGTGCTGATGGTGTAGCAGAAGCCAGAAGCCTTGAAGTGGACTCATTGCAGTGAACATTTACAGGTAAAGCTGTTTGGATGAAACATCGTACTGTATGCCACACTGCAGCTTCCAGTGCCATTAGGAAGGATGCATGTGTGACAGAGGATGGGGAAGACAGAGAAGAGGGATAGTGTTAGTGTGGTGGAACTGGAGACGGTCGTAGGAGAGAAATCTGTGTCTGATGGAGGATCAGATGGGACTGGAGACTGAGATAGGAGAGGAGGATGTGACTGACAGAGCCCTGGGCTGAAGCCCAGAGGCATTAAAAAGGTGTTTTTCAATTTTAATTTTTAAATTTTCTTTTGGGAGAGAGGGTGGAGGGCAGATATGGAAGGACTGGCGAATGAGTGGGATTGAGGAGCATGAATCAGTTTTAAATGTTTAAAGATTTTTAAATGCTATACAACTAGTTTCGGCATTGACACTATGGAATTTACATATTTTTTATGTAATGGATTAATTATCTAATTTTCATGCAGTGGTTACCATAATTTAAAAGTCATGGGATGAAATCTGTAGTGATTATGGATCATCATGGAAAACGAACTTTCCTTTTAAAGCAGTACAGAATGCTTGAGATGACTGCACAGAACTCAGGATCTGACTCTTCTCTGTAGATGGTAGTAGCATCCATGAGCAGTGGGGAGTGGAGGAACCCTTCACGAGTGATGGAAGTCTTGAGTGAATGTGTGCTGTTGACATGGGACTGGACATCTCAAGAACCCCAGTCTCAGATCAATGGGGAAGTGGCAACTTACAACCACCCCCCGCCCCCACCACCACCACCACAACCACCAGGGACAGCTTTAGGAGGATAGCAGAGCCGTCTTCTGGTTCATGTGTGGATGTTGACAGTGCATACAGAAAATGTCCACCACAGCTTTCTCTTAGCAGATGTTTACAACATGAAGACCATTGCCCTACTGTGGTCATTTGACTAGGAATGGCTTTCATAGGATCATAAATTTGAAAGTTTGGTGATGGGAGATGTCATTATGTTACTCTGTCTCTCTTATTGGTTGTTTAATAAAGCACTGTTGGCCAATAGGGAAGCAAGATAGGTGGGACTAGGAGTCAAGGAGGATTCTGGGAAAGAGACAGAGTCAGATATGATGAAGGCCGCCAGAGTAAGAGGTCCGGACCCTTTGCTCCAGTAAGAGAAATATTTAGATTAACCATTGTGGGTTAAATACTTAAGACAGAGATAGCCAGTAAGAAACCAAGCAAACGGCTAAGAGCTTCATAATTAATATAGTGTCTTGTATGTTATTTGGGGGCTGAAACTGTAACAGGGCCCAGGCAGTGGGCAAGGAAGACTACACTCTACAGCTTGGTCATTAGGGAGTTACACTCTTAGGAGGGGTATCCTTGTTGGTGTAGATGTGGCCTTTTAGGAGGAAATGTGTCACTGGGGTTTCAAATGCTCAAGCCAGACCCAGTATGTATCCCTCTTTCTTCCTGTTGCCTGCCAATCCAGATGTAGTACTCTTAGCTCCTTCTCCAGCACCATGTCTAACTGCATACCACCATGCTTCCCCCCAAGATGATAACGGTCTACACCTCTAAACCTATAAGTCAGCCCCAATAAGTGTTTTCCTTTATAAGAGCTCCTGTGGTCATTGTGTCTCCCCACAGCAATAGCAAACTAAACTAAGACACATACAGAGATTGTGCCTAGCTAAACCTGTTTCCTTGTTCAGCTGAATATAATAACCCCATCTCCCTGTTCAGTTGTATAAAATAACCCTGCTTCTCTGTCCAACTCCATGTAACAAACACAATGAACTTCTGGGCCACTGAGGCTTCTCCATCTGAAATGCCAGACCATTAATCTCAGCCTTTCTGTGTGTCCCTGGGTCTCTCTTTTCTTCATTCTCGCATTGTTCCAATCAGGTCCATCCCTGGGATTGTGATGGACATGGCAATAAGTCAAATCTTCAATGGAATATTTTAATATGAAATGTACTACAACTCTTTACCAACGTAAGTCATTGATGCCGTCACTCGGCTTTGAATTTTTAAAGTGAAAACTTTAAATCTCATTTAACTAAGTAGTATGAATTTGAATTAAAATGTTTACAAAATTCTCCTACAACTAGAAACAATTACAGCATAATCACTATTTTTAAGGGATTTTGTATAATAAAATTAGAATGGATAGGTTATTAGAGTAATTAAATTCACAACATGGTGATAAAAATGTAAAGTGACTTCAGGGTCTTTACACAAACATCTTAAAATAATTGAGCCTTATCTCTTGGTCACCAAGTCTAATTATTCCCCTCATCCTCCTAAGGCTGGGTGGCGGTGGGACTTTCATCCAGTCAGGGATGAGTCCTGCTCCTGCCTCTTCCCATCCCTCAGTGTTCAATACAGGACACTGTCACATCTCCAGCAACTTCTCTGGATATCCTTGCTAGGAGTCACTGCCATAATCGAGCTTAAACTGATTCCAATCTTCCTAAGGAAGCTCCATCTCTCCTTAAAATGGAGCCCTGGGACACTGGGCAAGTAAATTAAGAGTTTTTTGTTTTTTTTTTAAAACTGGCTTCAGTGCCATAGTGTTTATTTACTGAGAAATAATGCACTTGTAAATGCTTTAATATTCTGTAAAATGGACTAGAAATATTTGTAATTTTATATGCAGGTTAGAATTTTGCTTTTAATTTAAGAGAAGGTACTACTTATGTAAATTCGAACTGTGAGATACTTTTTGCTTTGAGAGAGAAGTAAATCTCTTACACTAAAATAAATAAATAAATAAATAAATAAATAAATAAATAAATAAATATCCCTGTGTTCAGGACAGGAGGTGATGGCACACTCCTCTAATCCCAGCACTCAGGAGGTAGAGGAAGGCAGATCTCTGTGAGTTTGAGTCCAGTCTGGTCCCAGGACATGCTCCAAAGCTACAGAGAAACTCTGTCTCGGAAGAAACAAAAATCCCTGAGTCCAAATTCTTCATGTAAACAGTTCCAGAGGGGCATCCTTCTACATCTTCACTAATTTACATCCTGGGTGAATGTCTGTCACCCTGATACTCTGCACTAAATAAAAACCTATGCAGACTCACACAGCACTCTATAGAGCAATCTTGCTAATGTGTAGTCTTGCCAAGTTATGGTATGTGGAGTTAAGGTCACTCACCATCTCTTTAAGCCTTGCTACAGTCTTCCTTCTGCCCTGTGAGCATTTTCAGGGTTAACCCTTTTCACAGACTGCCATGATTTGAGTATGTATGGGCTTCTTTCCAGGGCCTTACCCCCACACCGGCCACATTGACAGGAACATAGACATCCTAAGCAAATCCATACATTTCTTACATATTTTCATGTCATGGTATAAATGCTTGCCTGAAGGATTCAGAAAGCAAAGTCAGCTTCCAAGTATAGAGATCAGGCAGTGGTGATACTCACCTTTAATCCCAGCAGCCATAGAGCTAGGAGGTAGGTGGTATACACACCTTTAATCCTATGACTCAGGATTAAGAGGTAACCAAATATACCTCTATGTCTACCTCTGTATCCAAGGCCACCCATATCTACACAAGATTGAACCAGTCCTAAACAGAAGCTTCTCACGTGAAGATGATCTCAACATCTGTGATCACGTGCCTTTAATCCCAGCACTAGAGAGGTATAAAAGATAAGACCAGGGTCTTCAGTCGTCAGTATCAGGCATTCATTCTCCAGCCACACTGAGGAAAGCATAGAAGTCTGGGGTTTGATGGAGCCAGGATCGCCTTTCAATCTGAGGTAGAGTAAGAGCTAGTGGCCAGCTGCTTTGCTTTTATGCTCTTCAGCTTGAAGCTTGAACCCCAGTATCTGTATCTGGGTACTTTCATTTTTCATGTTTCATTTTCACCTCTGTGAATTTGAGTTAATTGATTTATATCTCTTAATACAGAGAACAAATGAAAGCTCACTAATTTGTATCCAAATTTACAATCAATAAACCCACTTCATTTTAGAAAAAAATCCTTCAACAACTAATCTATTCCCACTACATTCTGCCCTCTATTATTTAACATGAAATTTAAACTGATACAATATTAGTAATTGAGATCTCATCTACATTCAAATGTAACACATTAACTCTGATGTTATATTGAAACTCAAAAAATAAATAGGAATTCAATTAACATGTTATGGGAAATATTTCAGAAAGTAGATATTTTATTCATACTCTTGAACAAGCACATTTCATGCAGCTCTTATAATTTCTTCATGCAATGTAAGTCCCAGCATACGATTTAACATATTTCAATAAAATGGATTTATATATAGAAGAAAAGGACATTTTAATGATTGTATGTATATAATTATTAAACTCAACATAAGAGAAATATTAAGAGTTAATATGTATAGCCAATACAGATTGGAAGAATAAAATCTTGATTTTGCAAGGCCACAGTTCCTGCATCAAGAGTAACCAACCCCACAGCTCAGGCAGCCCTGCCTTTCAGAAGAGCACAGCCAGGGACTGACACTAGCAACTCAGCCTTCATGAAGCTCTCCAGACTTTTCTGAAACTACCTAGAGGGAGTAGATGCTTTAAAATAATGTCAAATAATATTCCATAAGCCAAGGAAAACAAACACCCAATTTAAGAATGACAGAAGAGTGGAAGGGAATTACAGGCTCTTGGGAGGTTGAGAGATTTGGAGGGGAGAAAGGTGAAGGAAATTCAAGACATTCCATTTCCCGTTTATGCCCCATATTTCTTCTTTTGTGATGCTGTTCCACACTCAGCAAATGCTTTCTCACTGAGCCAGTTACCCAGCCCCCTCCTCTCTTTACATTGTGATGAATTCCAAACCAAGGCAAAAAGATATATTACATAGGAAAAGGACAATTTTAGAATTAAAATTAATTATGAAGCTTATTCATTATCCCCAATATAACATGACCAATCAGTTAATTAACACAGATTTAAGATAATAGCTAAGCTGTCTAAATTCTCATCCCTTAAAGAGATAGCTCACCTTGTCATCTCAACTGGACCTTCCTGAAGTAGTGAACAGGATCTTACATAAAGACAACATTTTCCATTTATCTATCCTTCTATGGTTGAAGGCATTTTTATTTGATTCACATAATTTCATGGACATGAACGTTAACCCATTTTTACAACGTTAGCATCACATTCTATAAGTGGCAAGATGAAGAAAACAACTAAAATACTCTCCCCCACACAAGGAGGAGACATTGAGGTAGGGAAGCAGGTACAAGAGAGAGTCTTAGGGATGTGTCTTTGGAAGCTTCTAGATGACTTCGTCTGTGCTTTTCATGCCACCAGCAGCTGACCAGCAAGTGCAGAACTTCTTTCTTTAACTAAGGAACCTATGATGGAAGCACCTTGTTGTAAACTCTCTTGTAGTTTCTGCTCATCCTGAAAAGAAAAGACAAAACAATAATACGCAAACTAAACACAAGGAATTCAAAAATAAGTATGATTAACACACTTAGAAAAGCAGAACAAACAAAAACCTTGATAAAGACAGAAAACCTTTTATGCTCAAAAGTATTTTATAATGACAAATTGCAACACTAAAATTAAGAATTAATTAAGCTGGGTTGACAATGAAATGGGCAGAACAGAAGCCAGTGTTGGTGATCTTAAAGGTAAATAAGAGCAGAATACCAGGTGATGCACACAGAAAAATATGGTAATGTTATATTTTAATATCGTATGGTATTATTACTATTCTATTTTCCTTATCTATTGGCACTCCCTCCCTCTCACCACAAAGAAATATGTATGGACCACTTAGGAAACCATACAGGGCATCCCTAACAGATAAGTCATCTGGGAACATCCACTTCAGGGACAAGAAAAGAGTAAAATAATTTATCTCTATTCCCTGACCATTGGGTCTATGTAGTGCGCCCAAATACATTAACACAGGATTACAAGTAATAGCGTGATCATGGGGCACACAAGCAGGTGAGACCCAGAGTAGAGCAATAGATAGCACAAAATTCTGGGATTGCTAGAGAAGGTGAAAGCAAAGGATGGGAGAAATGAGCCAAATGTGTGGGGCAGACAAGAACAACTTTAGATAATCAAGCATGATGACTAGCCTTACAGGCATGTACCAGTGCCATTAAGCCAGGCCTTAAGACAACAAATAAAGCCAAAGACCCACACGAAAAACCAAAGGAAAACAAACCATCAGCAGTTTATGCTTTCTCTTTAACGGCAAGAACATTAATACTAGAGCTACAGAGTTGACCCAGTAGTTAAGAGAACACATTACGTTGCTCTTTCACAAGAGTTCCCTCCAAAGGACGCACACCAGGCAGCTCCTGTAATTCCAATTTCAGGGGGTCTGCTTTATTCTTCTGACTCACACACATCCCCACAGAGATAAACCCCTACACCTGTACTTGATAAAATATAGACATTTTCAATGCTGCACACCAATGTTTGCATATACATGCATAAACTTTTACAACACAGTCGATGAACTTGAATAAACAGTTTGTATTCCGTGCTACCAGATGCTCAATGATTTGTAACGCATGCACTCTCCTCCAATCTCAGTCACTGCATAGTTCTCAATATTTGGTCTGTTACCTTATTCACATTCATAGCACAACGAAATTTATTTTTTGCTTAAAACAATAAAAACATCTATCATGTATTTGTCAATATAGCATTTATTCATTTTATTTTTGGTTATACCTATTGCATGGCAAAGCTAAAATTTCAGCTGAAAGGGAAACAAGTGTACTCCAGTAAAACACTGTAGGAAAGACCATTAGTTGCTAAAAAAAAATCCACTTTAGGATGACAGATGTGTCAAATTGACAACATCTAGAATTAACCAACACATAAATGCCTTGGTACACCTGAGGGATAGTTTTCTTAATTAAATCATTTGAAATGGGAAGACCCACGACCAATGCAGATTTCTGATGGGGGAAGACGTACTTTTAATATGAGCCACATCTTTGGCTGGCAGCTTACATGAAGGATGTGGGAAAATGAAGTTCTCCAACTCCCCCCTTGCTCTCACTCTTACTAGCAAGTCCATTCATTCACTGGCATTAGAACCAACTTTTCTGGGATTCCAGTATACTGAAAAGCAGTTGAGACATCCAGCCTCAACATTGTGGACTGAACATCTCCTGGATTCTTGGCTCTTCCCTTGGTAGACAGCCATTGTTGGACTAGCTGGACTATAGCCTGTTCACCATAACAATAAATACCCAATATAATACATATATAACATATGCTAATATAATAAATATATGCTAAATGTAATATAGCCAATATAATAAATACCCATAAAATGTGATATATATGCATATATATGTATATATCATAATTCTATAAATGCTGTTCCTTTAAGGAACCCTGATAATACAACACATTTTTAAAAATTCATTATCTTTTTTATTTTTAAAACTATCTTTATTTGTATACAAATTCCAGTTCTCCCTCCCTCCCTCCCCCTCCTCCCACTCCCACCCCATCTACTCCTCAGAGGCTGTCACATGACAATGAGGCAAAACCAAGGCCCTACTTCCTGTATCTAGGCTGACAAAAGTATCCCTCAATAGGGAATGGGATCCAAAAAGGACCATGGCAACTCTTTTTTTTTTCCCAGCTTGCTCTCCCTCCTCTCTCCCCTGCCCCCTTCCCAATCCCCATTTTGTTCCCCAGGGAGAGTGAGGCCCTTCATGGGGGATCTCTATTATCTGTCATATAATCCCTGACAGGGCCTAGGACCTTCCCCATGTGCCCAGGTTGAGAGAGCATCCCTCCATGTGGAATGTGCTCCCAAAGTCTATTCATATGCTAGGGATAAATACTGATCTACTACCCAAGGCCCCATAGATTTCTGAGACCTCCTCATTGACACCCACACTCAGGGGGTCTAAATAAGTCCCATACTGGCCTCTCAGTCATCAGTCATCCCTCTTGTTCAGGTCAGCTGTCTCTGTAGGTTTCACCAGCCCTATCTTGACACCTTTGCTCATCTCTCCTCCCCTCTCTGCAACTGAATTCCAGGAATTCAGTTCAGTGTTTAGCTGTGGGTGTCTGTTTCTGCTTCCATCAGTCACTGGATGAAGCTTTTAGGATGGCATATAAGGTAGTTATCAATCCCATTATCAGGGAAGGGCATTTAAGGTAGTCTCCCCACTATTGCTTAGATTACCAGTTGGTGTCATCCTTGTAGATTTCTGGAAATCTCACTAGTGCCAGATCTCTCCTTAAATCTATAATGACTCCCTATATTATGGAATACAACACATTTATGGCAATTCTTTCTTTGTGCTTTGATGTATTTTAGAAGATTCAATCACAAACTTATTTTAGATTTCTCATAAGCAAAATAAATTACATTAAATTTATTTCCAAGTCAGAGGTAAGCCTGAGTTTCAGACCTGGAGCAGCAGCAGCAGAGGGAGGTTTGAGCCATGAGCCTCAGACCCTGGAGCAGTGTCAGAGGGCAGACCCAGCCTCAAGCCCAGGAGCAAGGGGTGATCACCAGGTGAAACAACAGCAATAGTTTCATGCAGTAGCTTCCAGAAACTATCACAAAAGTTTCCTCTGGGAAAGAGCACCTGTGCCCCAGTATTTCTTGGTTGGAGATATCCTGCTACTACATCAACCACTGGACTCTCAGCCCCACATACACCAACTGGGGGAGCATCCCCAGGAACTGTAGCTCCCCATCTGTACTGCAAGGAATGACCACCTGAGCATTAGGCCTGCTTCCACAATGAGGAGCGTTCACTGGAGGCTCTGCTCTACTTGTACCTGAAGGAGTGGTCAATGGAGCCACAGCCCCCAATTGGAGAATGAGAGACCCCCCTGATACACACGCTCCACCTGTACTGATTAGAGGAAGAGATGCGTAGACAACAAGGTAAGAACACACTCAACAAAATAAAGAGCAATATAAAGAGTTTCTAGCAGAGCGACAACCCAAAACCTGAACATCCCAACACAGATGAAGTGGAAGAAAATGACCTAAAAATAACTTTATGAAGATGATGGAGGCCCTTAAAGAGGAAATGAAAAATTCCCTTAAAAATGCAGGAAAAGACAAACAAAATTTCAGAAGATAGCAACAAATCCCTAAAAGAAAACCAGCAATCAAACAAGTGAAGGGAAAAAAAACAGTATAGGTGAATTGAGACCATTTATATTCATGAATATTAATGAACAATGATTGCTAGTTCCTGTTGTTTTTGTTTTTGGTGATGGCATTGCGTGTTCAATTCCTTTCTTTGGGAATTTGCTGCTGTAAGCTCATCTGTTTCCTGTGTTCTTATGGATGTAGGTGATTTCTTTGGGCTGATGTTTTCCTTCTAGTACTTTCTGTAGGGCTGGGTTTGTAGATATGTATTGTTTAAATTTGGTTTTATCATGGAATATCTTGTTTTATCCATCACAGAATAACACAAATAAGAAAGAGAATTATAAACCAATTTCCCTCATGAGCATAGATACAAAAATACTCAGTAAAATACTGTCAAACTGAATTGAATTCAAGAACACATCAGAATAATCATCCACCATGATCAAGTAGAATTCATTTTAGAGATGCAGGGATGGATCAACATACAAAAATCCATCAGTGTAATCCACCATATAAACAAACTGAAAGAAAAAATATGATCATCTCACTGGATGCTGAAAAGGCCTTAGACAAAATTCAACACCCCTTCATGGTAAAGGTCTTGGAGAAAACAGGGATACAATTCTGGAACACATGTAAACATAATAAAGGCAAAATACAGTAATCCAACATCCACCATCAAATTAACTGAAGAGAACTCAAAGTGAACCCACTGAGATAAGGAACAAGACAAGACTTCATCTCTCTATATCTATTCAACATAGTACTAGAAGTTGTAACTATAGAAATAAGACAACAAAAGGAGATCAAAGAGATACAAATTGGAAAAGAAGTCAAGCTCTCACTATTTGCTGATGATATGTTAGTTTATATAAGTGATCCCAAAATATTCTACCAGAGAACACCTATGACTGGTAAACACCTTCAGTAATGTAGCAGGATATAAGATTAACTCAAAAAAATATCAGTAGCCCTCCTATATACAGATGACAAAAGGAAATCAGAGAAGCATCACCCTTTACAATAGCCACAAATAACATAAAATACCTTGGGGTAACACTAACCAAACAAGTGAGAGATGTGTATGGCAAGAACTTTGAGTCTTTGAAGAAAGAAATTAAAGAAGATACCAGAAAATGGAAAGATCTCCCATGCTCTTGGATAGGTAGGATCAACGTAGTAAAAATAGCAATCTTGTCAAAAGCAATCTACAGATTCAATGCAATCCCCAACAAAATCCCAGACCTTGAAAGAACAATATAAAACTTTACATGGAAAAACAAAAACAAGAGAT